CTTCCTTCCTTCCTTCCTTCCTTCCTTCCTTCCTTCCTTCCTTCCTTCCTTCCTTCCTTCCTTCCTTCTCTTTCTCTTTCTTTCTCTCTCTCTCCCTCTGTGTGTATGTGTGTGTGTGTGTGAGAGAGAGAGATGTGGTGTGGTAGTGTGGTGTGTGTGCACCAGAACTGAGAACTGAGACTTTAACTCAGGGCCTCAAGCTTTCTCTTGGCTGTTTTGTGCAAGATCAGTGCTCTACCACTTTACTACCAGCTTTTTGCTGGTTAATTGGAGATGAGAGTCTACAGACTTTTCTGTCCAAGATGGCTTTAAACTGTTTTCCTCAGATGTCAGCCTCTTGAGTAGATAGGATTGCAGGTGTGAGCCAACTGGCAGTTGGCTAGTACTTTTCTCTACTGAGAGGATGGCACAGTATAATGTTTAACATGAGGTCTTCGTGTCTTGAGCATACTCCTCTCCCCCAGTGAGTTTCTGCTCTTGAGCAAAGGCTGTTTGCCTGAAGGTCTCATAGGTTGGACCTTTCCTCCTCTGCTCTCCTGTCTCATTCCATCATCTTTCAGGCCTCACAGGCCTCCCTTAGTCATCTAATACTTCCTGGTCTTTTCCTCATGGAGTGCCATGGTTTTGATTTCATCATAATGTACTTAGTTTTAATTACCTATTTATTGACATGCTTATTTATTTCATGTATCTTTCCTCATCAAACATTTAGCTCCAAGAGGTCAGGGTTCCTTATGAATACCACTGTGTACACAGAAACTAGTACCACTTAGCAAACAGCAAAGCATTTTGTACTTCTTTTGTCCTGTTAATGAACAATTCTAGCCACTCTTCTATTTCTTTATGGAAAAGCCAAGGCTTGGAGATGCAAAAGGACTCTCCACAATTCCCAGAGGGTTGAGGCTAAAGTTCTAAACAACAACATTCTTCTCCTTGCTGCTACAGTCTGTCTGGGGACTTAATACCAAACCATGTAACATGGGTGGGGCTTGGGATGGGGGACAGGTGATAAGAAGTAGACAGATGGAGGACGTGAGGTAAGTACATGGGACAGATGTACACAATAAAGTGTGGGGCCAAGTGGCAGTTTGGGGGCCGGGAGCAAAGTCCCTTACAGCACCCAAACCTCAATATGCATAGTATATTAATCACAACAAAAAGACTCAGTGGCTGGGCATTGGATGCTGTAATCCTAGCTACTCCAGAGGCTGAAATCTAAAGATCGAGGTTTGAAGCCAGCCAGGCAGACAAATCCAAGAGATAGTTATCTTCAATTAACCTCCAATAATAATAATAATGGCCAGAAGTGAAGATGTGGATCATAGCATTAGTCTTGAGGAAAAAAAGCTTAGAGATAGCGCCCAGGACCTGAATCAAGTCTAACACTGCCACACACACATACACAAAAGTTTCAGTAGCCAGGCACCAATGGCTCATACCTTTACCCTTGGCTACTCAGGAGGCTGAGATCTGAGGGTTACAGTTCCAAAGCCTGCCTGGGCAAGAAAGTCCATGAGACTCAACTCTAATTAACCTCCAAAAAAGCTGAAAATGGAACTGTGGCTCAGGTGTTAAACTGCTAGCCTTGAGCAAAAAAGAACTGGAATAGCATCCAGGTCCTGAGTTCAAGCTCTAGGACTGGCACACAAACACACACACACACACACACACACACACACACACACACACAATAGCTTAAATGGACTAGTAAGTACTTAGTTGCTTAAGGGTATCAAATTAAGACACTCAGCAAATGTGTGTTTGATCTCAGCTCTGCCTAGAATTCTAATCAATTCCTAGTCCCCACCTGGCTTCGTTTCTCTGTCCTTTAACCTGATAAATGGAAGAACAGAGGTAAGAGGTGCCACAATCAGGTGGAGAATGGGATCTCACCTATTTGTTAACCTACCTCTGTGCCTGAGTCAGGGATAAAGCTCTTGAGGGTAACAGTCTTTCCAGGCGCAGGGAAGGCAGCCTCTCGGAGGCCCTGCATGAACGGGTAGATGACGGCCATAGAGATCTGATGCCTCTTCTCCACTTCATCCAGGATCTGCGGGGAAAGGAGCGTGGGAAGCCTGGTCCAGAGGATGCCCCTGAGCATCATGGGGCTCTCATGCTGGCTTATTTTCATGGATCTCCTGGGTCCCTTCACCAGCTAGCTATCCTAGACAGACACTGGTCTCATGCCCAATAATCTGATTTCTCTATCCTGAACAAGATTTGCTTTTGCTTCACCTTCTGTTCATATTCCATATACAAATCCATATCTCTCCCTTCTCACAACACCAACATAAAACTACTGTCACCAGGAAGTCATTCCAGAGCAAAGTCATCATCCACAATGACACTGGCTGGAATAAGAGCCTGCAATGGTAGCCTCTTGGGTGGTACTCTGTCCTCGGCTCCCACTGGAGTCTCTCTAGGGCCAGACACTACCTTTGGCCTTTAGAACAATACACAGATAAAAGCTCTGCCCAAGCAAAAGCTGACAGAATTCTTCTTCCAAGAGACCTGCCAAGGGGCAGTTCCTACCCACCAAGACAGGATGTGCCCCTTCTTTATCCTTTTTTTTTTTCTTGTACCAGTACTAGGGCTTGAACTCAGGGCCTTGCATTCTCATTTAGCCACTCAAAGTTGGTACTATATCACTGTGGAGCCACAGCTCTACTTCTAACTTTTTACTGATTAATTGGGGATGAGTCTTTTGGGCTGTCTTCAAAGTGAAATCTTCACATCTCAGCCTCCTGAGTAGCTAGGATTACAGGTGTGAGCCACCAGTGCCCAGCATGCTCTACACCTCTCTTGGACCTCACAAAACAGCCCCAGAGCCTGGAAGGTGGTGATCATTAGATCCATTTGACAGATGAGGAAACCGAATAACCTCAAAAGGCCTGAAGCCATTCTCCTTGACTGGCAGCCAAGGCTTTCTTCCTTGAAGGAAATGGAAACAGTGGCTTTGGGGGTGGGGGACAGTAAAGACGGACCTCTAGAGTCACTTGAAATCAAGTGGATCAAAGCCCTCTCTCTTCTTCAGTCTGCCCACGTGCCCTGATGCTGACTGGGCTGTCAGGAAGCAGCTTCACTAAAGGCTCAGGTTGCACAGGTAGGGCCAGCAGCCAGACAGCGCTGGGAAGATGAACAGGCCCAACAGGCCCTGAGGAATCTTGTTCCACTCCTACCTTGGCAAACAAGCCGAAGGAGCCGATGCAGCTGATGATGCAGTACACTTTGGGAAGGCGAGGACCAGGGCCTGTGGGCTACGGAGAAACAAGAGGATTCTTCAGGGCCACAGCCTCCCTAAGGGCTTCTCCCACCCAGGCTGACGGACACAGAGAAGGGTGGGGGGTGAGGGTTAATGGCCAGTTGCAGAAAGGGCCTGGCTGCGTAGAGGTTCCATTCATAGGAATGGCAGCAGGGAAGAAGATTGCCTTGAAGGGGCTGGGGTCCCAAAGGCAAACCCTCTTGCCTTCAGGGCCACTGTGATCTAAAGTTTAGGAAAGGGGAACAAGTGAGTTTAGAGATGAGAAAATGGCACTGTAAAGGTGCCTTGGAGAGCCCTCCAGAGACCCTAAAAACTGAAAGCAATTGTCTAAATCCCAGCCTCTTCTTGGGAGGCTCCAGAAGCCTAAAGCAAGCAGGCCTGGATAGTGTAGAGAGAACTCTCATGGAGTCTCTCACAAATGGACCTATTGAAAATGGGAGGCGGCACAGGTCAAAGCCTGGGGTACCCAGGGGCAGGTGAGGAGGGGCCCTGTCCTGATTCTTGTGGGCTGGCAGAGGAGGCACTAACATGACAACAGGTGCAGGGCTGTACTCTCCCTTCCACCACCACTGCTGGTGAGCCTGGGCTTTGGCAACTGAGACTTGAGCAAGCCCAGCTGTGGAACTGAGAAGGCTACAGAGAGGAGAAGGCAGTTCTGAGCAGCACAGACCAAGAGGCGCCTGCAGTAGCCAATCTTCCTGCTCCCATCCACGTTGGTCAGGACAAAGGAGAAGGTCTCCCTAAGAAAGAGAAGAAAGTGCTTAGTTTGCATTTGCACACTAGATTTTATAACAGGAAAGTAGTCAGTGTTAAGAAGACACAGGGGAGCTGTTTTTTAACCTGGTAGCAAGAACCCCAGTAATGTATGAGCACATTCAGGGCAGTAAGCCCTCAAGGTATCACCTTACTTAAATCTCAAAACAACCTGTTAAGAGAGGTTCAATTATTACCCAAATTTTAAAAGGGAAGAAACAGAGGTTCTGGAATGGTCTTTTTTTTTTCTTCTTTTTTTGTACCTGTACTGGGTCTTAAACTCAAGGGTGCTGCTCCTTAGCTTTTTGGCTCAAGTCTGATGCTCTTATCACTCAAGCCTCAGCTCCATTTCCAGCATTTTTTTTTTGGTAGTTAATTGGAGATAAGAGTCTTTCCTGCCTTGATTGGCTTGGGGCCACAATTCTCAGCTATGAGTCTTTTAAGTAGCTATGAGAACTCATGTGACTCCCCAATGTTAGCCTGAAAAACCTCTCTCTCTCTCTCTCTCTTTCTCTCTCCCCCTCTCTCTGACTCTCTCTCTGGCTCTGGCTGTGGCTCTCTCTCTGGACCTGAGCTTGAGGCCTGGGCATTGTCCCTGAGCTTGTTAACTCAAGGCTCACTAGTGCTCCACCACTTGAGCCACAGTTCCACTTCTGCCTCTTTTTTTTTTTTTGGTGTTCAATTGGAGATGAGTGTACAGACTTTCTTGCCATAGCTGGCTCAAACTGCAATCCTCAGATCTCAGCTTTCAGGGTAGCTAGGATTATAGACTTGAGCCACCAGTGCCCAGTTCAGAGGGTATTTTTTATCCAAAGTCCACATCTATGTGCTAAAGTCAGAATGTGAACTCAAGCAGTCAACTTCAAAGATTCCTGATATTATCTTCCTAGAGGTGCAAGGCCTTCTGCTGAGCCCAGCTTCTGCGGGTCAAAAGCATTGATTGTTGCTCTGGGGCAGGTGGGGGCGGGGATGGGGTGGAACATGACTGTGATCTGGCAATAGGTCAAAATGAAGCAATGATCTTTGGCCTTAGCAACACATACTGGATGTGGTGGTGTATGCTTTTAATCCTAGTTATGCAGGTGGTTTGGGCAGAAGGATCCTGATCTCAGGCAGTTCACATTTTAAAAAGTTAGATGCTATCTAAAAAATAACTTCAAGTTTAAAAAAAAGGGAGGAGTGGTCTAGTGGTGTGGCTCAAGCCACAAAGCACTTGCCTAGCAAGTATAAGTCTCTGAGTTCATACCCCAGTATGCACTCCATGGTCGGAAACCATCATGTACATGGGGTTAGGGAGCCACAAGAGCCACATGATGGCTCACACTTGCTCCTTCTCTTCCAATCTGACACCCGCGCCCCAAGGCTGAGTGTTACCTGGGATACTCGGTGAGTGGTGCCCACTCATTCCCATCTGGGAAACAGAACAAAGGTATGGCTTTGAGCAGTCGCTCTTCCTCCTCCTGCTGACCCCGAAGCAAGTTCTCTCGCTACAAGGAAAAGAGACAATGGATTGCTGGGGCATTAAAGAGGAACAGAAGCCTGATAGGGCTTCTTCTGAGGTAGTAAAACTATCAGAGGATAAGCTTTATCCATTAGCCAGGGGACCAAAGAATTCCTGGGCTCACTTCACACAAGTCTGCCTGGAATGGCCCCCTAAGACAAAACAGCTCCTTCTGGGCCACATCAAGATAAACTTGGGTAGACTTCCATATCTTCAGGATTTATAGAGGAAGGAAAGAGTTCAGGGCTTCCACTGATTACAAGAGGCCCTGTGGTGGCCCAGGCCTTGGGAAGGTAACATCAGAGAGATACCACATCAGAGAAGAGAAACAGACACTTCAGCTACTGCAGTTGCTAACGAGAGGAGTTAACAGGAAGATGCCCAATTCTCACCCTTTCACCCACTGCACGATCAAACATGAAGAAGTCTGATGCTTCGGTGATAGCTGAGCCCTGAGCCTGCCTGCTGGCTGGGGGCTGCCCCACCCTCTCCTTTCCCCAACAACCAGGGAGGAGATGGGGCCAGGAGGTTTGACAGTAAGTAAGCTTCTCGGCAGAGAAAGGTGACTGAAGGAAGAATTTGGAAGAACCAGGAGGCCCTCGAGGGGCAAGAACACACACCAACTTTCCCTGCTAGGGAGGCTCTGTCCATCCATCACAAAGCAGACCTAGATTCCTTGGGTGATATAGCAGAGCATTAGGTTCAGTCTACAAAAGAAATGAGAGCAGCAAGCTCAGAGCTCAAGCCCAGGCAGGTGGGGAGAGGAAGTATAAAATCCCATCACCTTTCAACACTTCTCCATGGTAAGTCCTTACCTTAGGAAACTGGTAGGTAATGGTGGGCTCATAGTCATCCCCTGAATGCTTTTTTTTCAGAGAAACCACTAGAAGGTATTCAAAGAAGTGCTGTCCCCCAGCAAAGCTGGATAGAGAATGGTCCTGGGTCCTTTCTGTTTCCTTGGTAGCCTCTCCTGCATTGTCCTGGGGGGTTCCTGAAACCAAGAAGCCAGGTTCGCTTCAGTATGTCATCCATCAGTCCACCTGGAGGCTTCTGGGTCAATCTGGGCAACTTCTCCCCCTCTCTCTTGCTCGTGCTGAGATAGCTGGAGCCAGTCCAGTACTGCCAGTTACCAGGGCCAAGTGGGCAGTTTCCACAACCTGCCCTGGGAAACTGAAAACCATGGGAGAGCCAAGAGGAAGAAAGAAATCATAGACGTGGAAACTGAAAAAAGGTCCTAGAGAGGCCATGCGGCCACGTGCAGCTGGTACCATGGAATTTCGGCCCACCTGGCCAGTTCTGGAATGGTTTTCCAGGTGAATAAACTCATCTTAACTCACCAGAACATGCCCACAGGCCCACAGGGCGAGAGGCTGGGAACACACCAGCCTCCACCCCCAACCTCCCAGAAGGAACAAGCAGCTCAACACAGCAACCAGGCAAACCGAACCCAGACACGTGGGAGACCAAATGGCCTATAAATGAAAGAGGAAAAAGAAAAAAAACAAAACAAAAGCCTATTTGAGAGGGTCACCGTAAGATAAAGAGGAAGTGGGCAATCCAGTTCCTGACCTGCTCGGACTCTAGGTAACCGGTTTCGGAAGAGCCTGAGGGCTTGGCCTACCCTCCGTCCTTCCATCTTCCTGGGCCTTTCGGAGCATGAAAGACTTTCCTTTTCACCCCCAGGCTGGCTACAAACAGCCTACGGAGGCTGCCGCTTCTGTCTCCAGCCACAACTCTGTGAAGCACAGCCACACTCTGTCTTCCAGAAAGGGTAGAGCAGTTTCCATCCTGGGCACTCCGTAATTGAGAAAGAAGGATATAACCAGGCCCAGCAGGCAACTGCACATATATAGTGATACTGACACAGCCAGCATCCTGGCAGTGCGGCTCAGCTCTCAGCTCCTCCCCACAGCCCCAGGGTGTGGTGAGACGAAAGGTCATAAGCAAACAGCAAACAACGCTGAGGCTCAACTGCTTCTGGGCTCTGGGCTTTGAGTTCTGAGCTGTCAGTTTATTTACAATAAAGGCCCAATGGCATTGGACCTGTGGGTCAATCTCAGGACTAGGACCTTGCATCCTCAGGACTTAATGGGCAGCATTTCACTTCTCACCATGGTCAACAGAGCCTGAAAACCCCCACAAAGCCACCTGCCACATTCTAGAGACTCCAAGATTTCCAGATCCCCATTAAGAGCACAGGACAGAAAGAGGCGAGTCTTAGGAGAGAACCACAGAGGTGAAATGCCTAAGCACTTCTTCCTATTTATATAAAATAATATACATACTGAAATGAATTCCCAAGATATGGAAACAAAAGACTTTTGTTGTTGTTGTTTTGTTTTTCTTTTGTTGGTAGTGGGGCCTGAACTCTGGGCCTGGGCGCTGTCCCTCAGCTCTTCAGCTCAAGGCTAGCACTCTACCACTTGAGCCACAGCACCACTTCTGGCTTCTTCTGCTCATGTGATGCTGAGGAATCGAACCCAGGGCCTCATGCACGTAAGGCAAGCGCTCTACCACTGAGCCACCTTTCCAGCCCCACAAAAGACTTCTTTAAATTTGTTTTTTCTTTTTCTGATGATTCTGTATTCTTTATATACAGTGTATTCACATGTGCATATGCAGGAGAATGGGCACAGAACTTGAAGCAAAAGGATGGCAAAGTACAGCAGTGGAGCTCACTGGGCATTGATGAAAGTGAACTATATAACTTGTGGGTGGAGGTGGGAGGGAGGGAATGGGAGAGTGAGGGACCAGATGACACTGTATGAGAGGAAATGTACTTATTACCTGACTCATGTAAATGTTACCCTCTGTACATCATCTCTATAATGATGATGAAGTAAATTTTAAAACAAAACAACAACAACAACAAAAGTGAGGGGCTGGGAAGGTGGCTCAGTGGTAGAGTGCTTGCCTCACATGCATGAGGCCCTGGGTTCCATTCCTCAGCACCACATATGCAGAAAAAGTCAGAAATGGTGCTGTGGCTCAAGTGGTAGAGTGCTAGCCTTGAACTGAAGAGCTGAGGGACAGTGCCCAAGCCCAGAGTTCAAGCACCACAACCAACAACAACAACAAAAAACAGGCACAGGACACATGGTTCATGCCTATTATTCTAGGTACTCAGGAGGCTGAGATCTAAGGATTGCAGAAAATTTGTGAGATTATCTCCAGTTAACAGCCAAAAAGCCAGAAGTGGAGCTGTGGCTCAAGTGGCAGAGCACTACCTTGAGCAAAAAAGCTCAGGGACAGCATGCAGGCCCTGAGTTCAAGCCCTAGGACTGACACCAACCAATAAACCCTTCAGTCCATCAAAAGCACAGGACAGTGGCTCATGCCTATAATCCTAGCTACTCAGAAGGCTGATGTCTGAGGATCAGGGTTCCAAGCCAACCCCAGCAGGAAAGAACTGGAGATTTTATCTGCAATTAACTATCAAAAAACCAGAAGTGGAGCTGTGACTCAAGTGGTAGGACACTAGCCTTGTGTGCAAAAGCTCAGGGACAGTGCCCAGGACAATGGTCAGATGGGTCCCAAGAACAAGAAGAGAAAAAGAAGAGTATAGATCCAAACACTCCCTGCCACTAAGGGGCCACGACCTTGCCCTAATAAAGGGAAATGCTTGGCCTCATAATTATCTAAATGGAAGAGGGGATCCTTGGAAGTCTGTATGGACTCCAAAGATTCTCTTCTGATAGAAGAGAATAAGCCTGGATCTGCGCTGAGAGTTGTAGATACTTCCAGAACAACTCCAATAACAACTCTCTTTCTCTCCCTGTGGCATTTCCTGGGCTAAAGCAGATACTGGGGCTGTCCCAGGGTCCAGCAGCTTCTCTCTTTCCAAATAGGAAACAGTGACTCAGGAACTTATCCCAGCATAAAGTTGGGCACTGGCTGCATTAACTGCCAGAAGTCACTCAGCAGCAGTACAAAGCATCCGGGTCATGGCTACCCCACCCCCACTCCTGCTCTAACTTTCTCCTTGTTGGGCCAGGTCAGCAAGTTGAAATGCATTGTCTGGAGCCTGAAAAAGATAGTACTAAACCATCTAGCATCCCTACAGAAACCTTTGTTCTGCTGAGGCAGGGTCTCACCCTGTAAACCCACGTAGCCCAACTGACATGGAACAAATCCTGCCTCGACCTGCCAAGTGTAGGGATGACAGGTGTGCACACTCAGCTCACAGACACTTTTGGAATAGAAAAGCCATAGGGTAAGATGTGCCAGGAAGTTGCCTCAGGAAAGGCAGGAGGCAAAGTGATTTGACAATAGTGCCTGCCATTCCTGCAAAGAATTAGCATCCCTTTGGAAAGAAGTGGGGTTTGAGAATAAGAAAGGGGTTTTAGGGTGATAAAGACAGGGAGCTCGCCTGCAAGAACTCTTAAACAGGAACTAATAAAAGCCAGGCTTCTAGAAGGATGGGGGCGTGGCTCAAGAGGCACACAAACCTGCCTAGCCACGTACAAGGACTTAAGTTTAGCCCACTTTCCCCATCTTTATAAACAGCAATAGCCAGATACCAGTGGCTCACACCTGTAATCCTAGCTACTCAAGAGGCTGAGAGCTAAAGATCAGGATTCAAAGCCAGCCCGGGCACGGAAGTCCATGAGACTCTTCTCTCCAATTAACCACCAGAAACTGGAAGTGGCACTGTGGCTCAAGTGGTAGAGTGCTCGCCTTGAGCTGAAGAGCTGAGGGACAGCGCCCATGCCCAGAGTTCAAGTCCCACAGCCAACAAAACAAACAAACAAAAAAGAAAGCAACAAACAAAAGAAGGACCCAGTCATGACTCTAGGGGGAAGCCGGAAGCCCTAGTCACAGTAACGAAGTATGTTTTGAATATTTCACCAGGTGAAGAACGTGAGTCAGGACACACAGCCATCACTATGTCTTACAACCTATACTGAGGCCTGTTTGAGGAACTAGCAGCTTCCTGATACAGATGGGGAAAGTGAAGCATAAGAGCAACCAAGAGGTCATTTAATCAGAGCTGTGGAGGGTGAGATTTGTCCAGGCTCCTGCCTCTGAGAGTTTTCCACAGCAAATATCCCACAGTTTGCAAAGGGCCTTGAGAACCTGAATCTTCTCATGATGGTCCAAAAGCTCAGGAAATCATGTCCTTTCCTAAATCCTTGGAGCAGCATTTTTAGCCTGTTTCCTCCTGCTTTATCAGAAGAGATAGGGGAACAGCCAAAGTCAGAAATCCTTGACCAAAAAAAAAAAAGTGAACTAGACTTTTGGGCTGAGACCCAAGACCCAAGACATTTAACAAAAGACTGCTTTCTCTTCCTTAAGAAACTTCACATTTATCAAACTCAAGTATACAACTCAAGTATACAACTCAAGCACTAGTATACAGAGTGGAGAGAAGAAAGAAAGGGAGAAAGAAAGAACAAGAGAAAGAGAAAGGAAAAAAGAAAGAGAGAGAAAGAAAGAGAGAGAGAGGAAGGAAGGAAGGAAGGAAG